CACACACACATGCACACACAGACACACTCAAACACATGCATGCACTCACCCCCTCTCTCACACACACGCACACACTCATGCACAGACACACTCAAATACATGCATGCACTCACCCCCTCTCTCTCTCACATACACATGCACACACTCATGCACAGACACACTCATACACACGCATGAACTCACCTCCCCCGCCACAGAGCTTATTAGCAATTCCCCAGGCAGGCACTTTAAGAAAGGCACTCGGGGGAATGCTGACCCAAAACAGAGGAAATTAAACAAAACCTAGAGGCTGCTGCTGTCAACCATGGCTCTACCTTTCTCTCTGCTCATGTGTGTCCCTGGCTGTGTTGCCGGATTCATGGTGTCCATTCCTGTCGGTTGCTGGATCTCGGTTTTGGCCGCAGTCTGGCTTTGCGTGGCTTCTACTCCAGTGAGAAGACAAGGAGGGGAGGGACAGGAGTGAGGGGATGAGATGGCCACAGAACTGCCAGGCAGGGCTCCCTCCACATTGTGGTTCACACGGTCTAAAATACCAGCTATTGCTTTATTTTGATGGGGTGGGGACCCTTTGACCACTGCAGGAGAATGAAATGTGTGTCCATGCCCATTACCAGGACAACTTTTCTTTAAAAATAAAACCATATAGCCCAGGCTGATTTTAAGTTTTTGTCCTCTTGCTGCAACTTTCTGTGTGCTGGCATAAAACAATTTATACTTAATTTAGGGGGATACTAAGAATTGAACTCAGAGCATGCTATCACACAGTCCCCACCCCTCACTGGGGGATTCAGGGCAGGGGCTCTATCACAGCCACACCCCAGCCCCTCACTGGGGGATTCTAGGAAGGGCCTCTACCACTGGGCCACACCCCAGCCCCTCACTGGGGGATTCTAGGCAGGGGCTCTACCATGGAGCCATGTCTCCAGCATCATTAATTGTTAACTGAAGAAATGATAAAGAATACTTTACATTATGTTATACTCCAAGAAAAAGTATAATAATTACTTGAAAAACAACTTTTAGGGAGATACAGAGCTGAGTGGAAACCATGGCAGAGCAGGCACTGGGAATGTTTGTAAAGAGCAAATGTTCAACTTTGAAAATGAATCAACTTAAAAGATTATTTTGGGGGGCTGGAGAGATGGCTCAGTGGTTAATAGCTTTGCCTGCTCTTCCAAAGGTCCTGAGTTCAATTCTCAGCAACCTCATGGTGGATCACAACCATCTGTAGTGAGATTTGGTGCCCTCTTCTGGCCTGCAGGTATACATAATAAATATTAAATTATAAAAAAAGATTATTTTGTTTTTAAGTCAATGGAATCAGATGCCAAATAGGCACAGGGAGCTTGTAATGCCAGCACTCCAGAGACTGAGGCAGGAGGATTGTCCTGAGTTCAAGGCCTCCCCGGGCTACAAGGCAGTAGTGTCTGGACAAGATAAACACAGAGTGGAGCTGGCAAGGGTCTAGAGCTGTGGTGGGCTGGTGAGCAAGGAAACTTCAGATGTCAGAGGAGGAGGTGCTTTGTGGGCCCTCCCACCCCACTCACCATCAGTTTCCCCCATCGGAATGGGAGGGGTAGGCTGGACTTCTGGGTTGGTTTCATCTGGAACTGGGGTAAAAACAGGGTCAGAGAGAGAAGTGGGAAGGGAGCAGCAGAGAGTTTCCTCAGGTGGAGACTAGAGTGTTTCCATAGCAACTCCATCTTTTTTTCAATGCGTGTACGCGTGCAAGGGGGGCGGGTTGCAGAGGCAATCTCCGCCGTCTTTCCGTGAGAGCCACCCACCTTCTTTAAGACAGACTCTCTCATCGGCTCGAGACTCACCAGGTAAGCTAGGCTGGCAAGCCCTAGGGATCTATCTGCTCCTATCTCTCCACCTTGCGATTTGTAGCCACTATGCCTGGCCTTTCACGTGCATTCTGGGGATTAAACTTGGGTCCTTATGTCCGTGAGGCGAGCCTTTCACTGGACTGCCTTCAACTCCATTTTGAGGTGATGAGAAGAATTCAGAACATTTGACAAACACTCAAACATGATGCCCAGGTCTCCCCTGCCTCCGGACTGTGAGTGAGACTCAGAAACCTTTCCCAGGAAAGAGGGTTTGACTCAGTTTCCCAAATCTCCCTGACCACCAACCAGTATCAGTTGCTCTAATAAGAGGCCTCGGGCTGGGCACTCAGGAGGTGGGCTGTGCAGGGAACACCCTCCTCTTAGGAAATAAATGGAATGATGAGTTAAAAAGATTTAACTCCCCCTCCCTGGCTTTAGATTCTTCTAGATGAGAAACAGACTAAGGATGGAGCCAACACAGAGGACCCAGAAGCAAGAGTTGGTTGTTAGTTCCCCGACTGCACCATTTAAGCTAGCTACTTCAGACCACACCTGAAGCTCAATCCCTGACTTTTTTTTTTTTTTTTTAATCTTTTTCAGTTACATGACTGTAAATTTCCCTGTTTGGTGCGAGTGCAGTGGCGTCGTTGCCCGCAGTGAGAATTTTACAGACCTGTATCACTTTCCTTACCTGGGACTGGAGTATCCGCGGAAGTCTGGTCCACCGCAGAACCTGGTGTGGCCTTTGCTGGCATCTGCCCTGGGGAACCAAGGCTGAGCCATCAGAAGGGGTCTCATACTCCCCTCTAGACCACAGTGCCTGACCTTCTAAAGTCCTGACTCCCAGGGGAACCAGCCTTGCTGGGTGACTCCATGATCCTAAGAATGCATTAAGCCTGGCCTTTGCACATCTGTGCCCAGTGGTGGAGCCAGTCAGGGCCACGTCTTCAGATTCTGCTCCCAGTCACTGCTCCTTGCTGTGTGTCCTGAACCACTGAAGCCCCCCTCTTTGTCTCATCTGAAAAGGGCGAGACAGTAACTGACTGCGGCCCCTGCCCTGTAGGCAGCTCCTCACTATTTCCTGGGCTAGACTCTGTCACCTCCCACCGGGGTGCCCAGAAGCCTCTCTCTGGCCTCCTGTAGTCAGAAGGAGCCTGTGAGGACACCCAAGTCAGGACAGATCCTGAAGGCTCAGAGCCCAGGTTAGCTGCATCTCATTCTAGGGAAAGCCAAAATTTTCACCTGGTCCCCAAGTTCTCCTGCCTCCAGTCCCACCACCTTTTCTCATTGACTTCACCCCAACCCAGCCTGCCACTGTGTCTCAGACTCAGTGCCCCTTGCCCCTTCCTGCATCCCCACACTTGCTCACTGAGCTTCAGTTTTCCATCCATACAATGAGCATGAAGCCACGCAGAATGGACCTAACTAAGCATAAGTGAGCTAAGGCACCAGACACATTGGCAAGTGCCACCTGGCCTGTCCCTTTTGAGAAGAGCTTTTCAGGTGAGGCTCAGGGTCTCCTACTCTGTCCACTAGCCCCGCCTGGACCCCTTTGCCTGACTGTATTCTCAGAAAACCCCCACAGTTCTGCTTTCCTGGGAGCCTGGGGTTTCCTGGCTGCCGAGGAGAAAACTGACACCAATTTGCCAGCCAAGTCAAACGCAACAAGTCCTTCTCAGAGGTGAAAGGGAGGGCGCTCAGCAAGGCAGGCTCCAGCCAGACTCTCTGGAAACAGGCACCAGAGGTGTGAAGTGTCTGAAGAGGGTTCAACCCAGAGCCCGCCTCACCACCCCCACTTCCTGGTGCCAGCTCACTGCGGGCCAGGGGCATGAGAAGATGGAACTGAGCATTTAGTCTTCAGTTACCCATACCTAGCCGCCCACTGAGCCTGGGGTGGGGGCCGTCTTACCTCTGCTGGGCAGAACCAGGGCGATAAAGGTGAGCAGACACAAACAACTGGACGGTGACATCTGTGGGTGAGTGGAGGCGAAGGTGAGTGATGCACGGTTCCTCGGCAGCCTCAACCCCTTCGTGGAGCAGTCCGCCTCCCCCCCACCCCCCACTGCTTCAAGGACCCTCTGGTACCTGCCTCTGGGAAGAAATGCTTTCTAGAGCCCCAAGCCACTATCCCCTTCTTCCAAAAGCTGATCCCCAAAGAAAACCAGAAGCATCAGCTGAGCCTCGTCTCCTGACATCCCTGAGGCCGAGAAGCTGCTCCCTGCTCCAGCAGCTGGAGCTCACCCTCCTCGCCGGTGATTCCCTGGCAAAGGAAGCCAGGGGCCCCCGCTGTGTCTGCTCCCTCGGGGACCGGAGCCCAGAGCAGTGGGGCCCGGAGGGGAAGAGGAAGGGTGACTAATGCAAGGCTGCACTCAGAGGAAAAAGTGAGCTGGTGTCCGGCTGCCCTGCAAGCACCACCGCACCCATGCTGGGAATATCTCTGAGGGACCGGTCTGCCCGGGACAGAGACTCCGCTCTAGGGAGACTGAGGCCGGAGGTGTGCCCACAGAGGAACCAGGGTGAATGCGAGGCAAAAAGGCATCGAGGCTCCCCACCCCCACGACCCCTAAGCTGCTTCCCACCTGCATGCGTGGTCCTCAGCAAGAGGGTAGAGCAAAGAAGGGACTTACGTCGGAGCCCAGGGTCTCTAGCTTGGAGTGTGAGAGTCCCGCGTGGGAGCTGCCTCAGGGCGGAGGGTGTGGCCAGGGGCGCGGGCAAGGGCGGGCGGGGACCAGAGCAGCTCAGTCATTTCCTTTCCGGCTTCCAGGCCCCACAGGCAGGGGTGGAAGCAGGAGCGGTGGAGGGTGATGGGGGACTGAGGGCGGTGGCCTCCACTGGAGGGTCTGGGGGACACAAATGGGGACAAGGGTAAAGAGAAGAGAAGGCCCCTTGGGAAGGTCTGGAGGAAAGGATGTGGTGAGAAGAGGAGGCCCTTGAGGAGGAGAAGGAGGAAAAGAAGAGGAGGAAGGAGAAACGGCACAACCACCTCAGCCTCCCACCCAGTCCTTGGGTGCCCACAGACGACAACACACAGACATAACGAGGGGAAAAACGAATGCACATTTATTAAGCTTAACACGTGGACCCTGAGGGGACAGCCGGAAAGGTCCTGGAGAAGACCAGGAAATGCAGGAGAAAGGGAAATGAGGATCCCAGGGAACTGGGGACGGACTCCTGGATCCCAGGAGTTGGAGGCCTGAGTCTCTGGGTCTGGGGAGCAAATGGGCTCTTTGGGGGATCGTCGTTGCCAAGGCCTGGGGAAGGACAGCGGGGTGCAGTGGCTCCTGCCTTGGGATGGGTGCGGCGGCTCATTGGGGGCATACTCCCCGGCGCCAGGCTGGGTCCCCACCGCCTTCACCCGGTCCTCGGGCTCCTGCGCTCCGGCCAGGGACAGCAGTGGAGATCTGCAGAAGGTCCTACACACCGCCACCTCCAGGTGCTGGGAACAGAAGAGAATCCATGTTAGTGACCCAAGTGAGGGAAAGAATCAGAGTTCAGGGATGTTCTCTCTCTGGCTAGGCTTGGGGAATTCACATATCTTCCCATTCCCTGATATCTGGTCACTATGGGATCATCTTCATTGCTGCTGTCTGCTCCATCCCAGGTCACAGAGTAAGGCAACCTAGCTGTGGTTGACACCTAAGGCTAACCTGGGTATTCCTGGGCGCTTAAAATCTCCTTGGCAGAAAGAGGCCCCACCTCGTGCTACACCCCCCCCCCCAAGCTCCATTTCTCCATAGGCTCTGGATGGAGAACCCGAACATCTAGCAGGCGTCCTCCAGACTCCACTTGCCTTCCAGGACAGGCCATCTTTGTTCTCCTGCCTCAGCTAAGGCCTGGCCAAACCCCTGACCTAGCACCACAGGGACACCGCTGATGTTCCTAACTCTCATTAGGGAGACATGAAACAAGATCTAATTTCTCCCCCAGCCTGCCCCCTGTAACCTAGCTCCTCAGAGCTCTGTCCTTTGTCCAGAGAAGATGGGAAGCTAGCCTAGTGGCTCACATCTGCAACTCCAGCACTTGGGAGGCTGAGGCAAGAGGACTGCTGTAAGTTCGAGGTAGGCCTGGGCTACACAGTGAGTTTTTGGATAGCCAGGGCTAAGTAGACACTGTAAGAGGCGGAGAGTCCCGCCTCTGATATTTTGTTACTCCTCTAAAGTCCTTAGACAGGAGGTAATTCTGCTAATAAACACCCCAAAGCCTCCCTCTGAACTTCTCACCATCTGCAGCCTCCCTTCCCCTTCCCCCTCCACAGTCACCCCCACCACCTTCCAGCCCATCTCTATCATCTTCCTGTCCCCATGCGCTGATTCGCCATGCCCTCCTCTCCTCTCCTCTCCTCCACACAGGCTTCCTCTTCCCTCACTTCCTTCCAGCTGGAATATTTTTTGCTTTTTCTTGTTTTTGAGACACACTCTCGTGTAGCCCAGGCTGCCCTCTAGCCTTCTCTATTGCTAGGAATGGCCTCAAACTCCTGATTCTCCTGGACAGGCCCTGCACCCAGTAGAGGTGGTACTTGGCATTGGACCCAGGGCCTCACGCATGGAGGCCAGCATCCCCAGCAGCATGCCCTTCCAAACCTCATCTTTTGTGTTGTTGTCGTTTTGGTGTTGCTGTTTGTTTTGTTTTTACGAGGCAGGGTCTCACTCCGCAGCCCTGGCTGGGCTGGGATTCACAAAGATGCACCCTCCTTGCTCCCCACCCCGCTCCAACTCCCAAGTACTGGGATCAAAGGTATACACCACCATTCTTGCTTTCCCTCCATCTTTAAAGCTGTATTCTTTTTTTTCTTTTGGTTTTTTGAGACAGGGTTTCTCCATGTAGCTATGGAGCCTGTCCTGGAACTCACTCCGTAGACCAGGCTGGCCTCGAACTCACAGAGATGCACCTGGCTCTGCTTCCTGAGTGCTGGGATTAAAGGCCTGTGCCACCACTGCAGGCTAAATCTGATTGCCTTTACTCAGAAACTCAGTCTCTCTTCCTTTCCTCTCCTTTCTCTCCTGCCCTTCATCTTCCACTGGAAGGTAGAGGTGCCTGTGTGGGTTTCTCAGGCACTAGTTGGATGCTTCCATCCTCACAGACTTCCACAGCTACACCCCACCCACCAAGCTTTCTGACTCTTGCATTTCTTTGGGATCTCCTTGAGATATTGCTGGAATCCCCCCTCTGCAGCTTTGTCCCCCGAAGGACCTAGAATTAGCTGCAACCTGGTGGGGCCCTGGGCTCCAGTCCTCCCAGGTAGCCTTCTAAGGATCCTGCTAGTAGCCTCCAAAGCCATGCTCACCTGAGGAGGGCAGTTCTGACTTACAGGATTTGCATGTTGGGCTGTGGAGAGAAAGAGAGAGAGGAGCAGGAAGTTTAGCAGGGTGGCTAGGCTCCCTGGGCCCTAAGTTAGGGGTCTCCATCCCAGTTCCCCAGGCTGCCCCACCTCTCAGACCTGGAGTCGGCCTTCCTGCACTTCACCTTCTTGCCTGTTAGGAGAGAAATTGCAGGGAACAGTGCGGGTAGGGTAGGAGGAGACAGGGCAGGGCAAGAAGGGAACCTTCACAGGTAAGGATAGGGAGGGTGGGGCCAGCAGGGAATCCTCAAAGATTGAAGAGAGGGACCTTTGCACGTGGGGATAGGGTGGGGGTGGGCAGGAGAGCCTCTAAGGTGGGGACACACCCCACAAGTGGGAAGCACTTACTGAGGATGATGATGATCCCCAGCACGAACATGATAGTAGCCAGGGTCATCCCCACAGTCTGCACGGTGGCATAGTCTAAGGGAGACAGTGGTACCTCAGGGCATGGCAGCTCTCAGCCCAGCCTGAGGCTCAGGTCAGTGGCCCAACAGAACAGCAAAGCTGCCAGCTGAGCCCACCAACTTCATCAGGGACCAGGGAAGGACCCAAATTGCCTGAGCCAGCCTAAGACCTTTGTGTCTCTCTACCCTCCACCCTCCTTCCCAGTGCTGCCCTTCTGGAATCTCACACTAGACACTCAGCTCCATCAGCTGCCCCTTCTCGGGTCCTCATCTTGGTTGTGTCATCCATGGCCAAGGCCTAGACTATCCCAGCAGACCTCTCTATGGTCTTGCTGCCCTGCCTCCACTCTCCCTCCCACAGCAACAAGAACCTTGTTACTCCCAGTCAGACCAGGGACCTGCAAAGGCATCCCAAATGCCCCCCTCCCAGTATTCCAATCAAAAACCAAGGTAAGTCAAGATTCAAACCTCAGAATCGTCTTACGACTCTTCCCAAGATTCTTCTCTGATTATTTCAGGGCACGAGCCCATAGTCCTGGTCCTAACCCATGAAGATGTTGAGTATTATTTGTTACTGAGGCAGGCAGCAGCATCGTCTGACTAACACAGTTCATCTAGCACTGATGTGGATGACCTAGCCCTGATTCTACTCAGGATTCACCCCACCCCCATCTTCTCATCAACCCTCTGCTTAGCTGTATAAACCCCCCAATTCTAGAGCATGCCAGGCATCCTGCCTCAGGACCTTTGCACCACCTTCTTCTTCTACCTGAGGCTCCATGTCCTTGACTTCCTCACCAACCTGTGGGTTTAGCTGAAATGTCCCATTTAAAAGCCTCATGGTCCCATGAGGTCTCAGCTCTCTTTAACCCTATTCCCTCTTTGAATTTCTTTCATAAGAATTTATTCCTTGGAGACCGGGTCTCACTGCATAGTGCAGACTTGATCTCAAACTCACAATCCCCCTGCCTCGGCCTTCTGAATGCTGGGAAGAATTGTTCTTGTCTGTTATACATGTGTGATAAGTAGGTGAGCAGGAGGCTGCCAGGGGAGAAAGGCTGGCCTAGAAACCACCCCATGGTGTCTCCAGAGCCAGGTACGGACAGGGTCTAGCACCCAGCACACACACAGGCTTCTCAAGGAGGGGACGGTGGAGCGCCTGCTGTGTACACCCTGCGTCTGCCCTTCAGCAGCTGACTCCGATGCTGTGATCAAGCATTCACCAACCAACAAAAACTGCTAACAGAAACAAAGCCACACGCAAATCCCCAAGTCACGGCAGGGTGTGGTGTGGCTGCTCCTGCTGGGGACTCAGGGACAGCCTCCTAGGGAGCAGTCAATATCTGATCCGAGGCCAGCAAGGAGAGGAGCCTTAGCTCACTGTGTGTGGCGGGGGGTGGGGTAGGGGGGGAAGGGGTCATGTTCCTGGCAGAAGAAACAGTAAGTCCAAAGGCCCTGAGGTTACTAGTAAGGACCTTGGCCTATGAGGGAGTCTGTATTCACGAGTAAAGATGAAGGGGATCAGGAGACAGAAAATGGGGGGAATTCAGGCTAGATCTCTGATCTGCCAAAGCCAGGGTTTCAGTGTCTTAGGGATGAGAGAAAGGTGTCGTTATGGTAACTCTTCCCATGGTCCTCATAAGTGGAAACCATTACGGCACCTTATTTATAGGAGGGTCCAGAGAGGCAGACTTGCTTGCCTTAGTCACACATCTAGAAGTGGATAAATTAAGATTCAAACCTCAGAGCCATTTTACAGCTCTTCACAAGCGGCCCCTCTGCTTAGTTCAGCTCACGAGCCCATACTCCAGGGAGGCGCGGAGTATTATTTGCTATTGAGGCAGGTAGCAGCCTCCTTCAACTGATGGAGTTCATCTAGCACGGATACAAGGGATTCCTTTGCCCTTTCCAGGTCTGTTCCTAGTCTCCAAATAGGCAGCCTTAGATGGGTGCTTGCCGACCCCAGTTAATCTCTACCCTGAACCCAAGGGAAAACAGGCTTTACCAGGCTCACAGTCCCCATCGGGGACAGGAGGGGTAGGAGACCACCTCCCTTCTTCAACCTGGCTCTGCCCCCCACAGACCCCTTCAGTGAGCCATAGCCACATGACCACACAGCTGATGACCCATGTCCTGTAGTCCCTGCTGAAGCTTCCCAGCACAAGATCCAACACTCACCATAGTAAAATGGATCTGTTTCTTCAGGAACTGCGGGGAAGAAGACAGAGAAGATGGGGAGACATGTTTCAGTGCTGGCTTTCTGAACATCTTTGAGGACTAAGATGGGCGAATGGTTTCTTTATGGGACTTGGAGTAGGAAGTCCCTCGATTGTGGATGATACCGCCTCTCAGTAGACACGTGGAATGCTCTCCAGACCCAGTCACTCTGCCAGTGCCACACCCTGTGTAGTGTACCACCTGCCCAGCTGTGCATGACAGTTCTGGTCCTAGACCCCTCAGTTATTCACACACACACACACACAAACACACGCACACACACATACATATGCACACACGCACATGCACACACATCCACATGCACACATGCATATGCATACACACATACATATGCACACACATGCACACATGAATAGTCGCACACACATGCATGCATACACATGCTCACACACACATGCACACACATGTGCACACGCTGGACCAACCAGAGCCCAGTCTCACAAGAGGACCACCAGATGGATGCATTGGCTTTCCCTGAAGACTCCCTCAATCCTCCCAATCATCCCAGGGTCTCTGAGGTTGTGAGGCTGCCCCCTGCAGGACTCTCCCATTGGCTTAGGCTGTCACCAAAACCCACATGGGCAACCTGTGCTGACTTATATCTGTCACCTAAGATACCAGCAGTTTGGAGAGTTGAGATCAATCTTGTGGTAACTTTGTGTAAATGGATCTTTTCCATCACATGAAAAGAAGGCCCTTAGGTCTTGGAGGTTGGGTTCCTCCAACCTCAGAAAGTGCACACACACGCACATATGTGTGTATGTGCATGTGTGTGCCTTTTTCAGTCTCTCACCTTTGCCCTAAATCCCTTCCAGCAGGCTAGGAGAGGTGAGCATGGTGATCCATACCCATACCCCAGCACTTGGAAGAATGAGACAGGATAGAGACATCAAAGGCAGCCTGGGTACAAGGAGACTGCCAGGTAGAGAGGGAGCTCAGAACATCCTTCCAGTGTAAGATGCTCACCCTGACCAGTCATGGTAGCATACGCCTTTAATCCCAACACTCAGGAGGCAGAGGAAGGTGGATCTCTGAAAGTCTAAGGCCAGCCTGATCTACATAGAGAGTTCCAGGCCAGCTGAGGCCACATCGTGAAACCCTGTCTGTAAAGATTAAATTAAAAGATGTCCACCCTATAGCTGTCAGCTTCTCCCTGCAACTCTCACCACATTCTGCCCTGTTTCCAGCAAATTCTGCAGCTTGTGAAAGGGGGGCGGTGATGACACTGGTGTTTCTCTCCCCCTTTCTGGGTTCTCCTGGAACTGGGTGGGGCTGTGTCTTTAAAGCCGACCAATAGCTACTCAAGATGATGAGTGTTTTAGCTGACTTTGGGGTGTAGAGACCTCCTGCCTCTGTCTACATGTCCACAAGTTAGCAATGCTTCCTAGTGGCCTTCCTCCGCTGAGACTTTTGGTACTATGTGTTACCAGTACTACCTGGAGCCTAACTGACCGATAGAGCTGGTTTATCTGGTGTGTCCTTCCCAGGTCTATGTTCCCACTCTAATTAAGTCCTGGCTTGGTGCCCATGTATCTTTAGCATTTGTCAATTGAATTGTTGTTTGGGAAATGTGGTTTAGGTTTGCCTCTTTTGGACAGGATCTCACTATGTAGTCCAGGACGGTCCTAAGCTCATATTCCTCCTGCTTCTGCCTTCAGAATGCTGAGATGTCCAGCATGCACCACCACACCTGCCGCCTATCTTTCAGGGCAATAGAAAAGACAAATAATACAAATTTTTCATTCGTTGTGGTGACAAAAGAAAATAAAGCCCACTGACGTTTGTTTTTTAAGAAGCTAATCCTCTGAAGGAAAACAATCTTAAATGAACAGCAATAAAAAGGAACTTTCTAATAGGGCAAAACTCAGATGTATACAGCTGGGACCACTGGGCTGCATTTTAGCTTCACCACAGGTTGAGCAGATTGGTCTCTGCAGTTCAGTATGGTTTCAAGAAGTTTTCTGGAATGAATGAATGAATGAGTAAATGAATGATGAGAGGGCCTCCGAGCCTGAAGGTGATTGCATCAAAAGCTGAGGTATTGGCTTATCTTTCCATCTCCTGGTTTCCCATACATTCTTTCTCCAGGTGGTTGCCTATCCCAACATCTTCCTGGGCTCCTCCAAAGATCCCCTGTGGGTCCCTGACCACAGCAGTCCCAGTCTTCAGGGTGTGGTTGGATTAAGGGTGGAGCCAAGAGGCAGGAGAAGCATGTACACCACCCTTGGCCAGTTGCCAGGAAGAGATCAAGAAGGAGGTGGTTGCTATGGTAACCAGGGCATCTTGAGAGGTGATTGGGGTCCTGGCACTTTAGTCTGGGTGGAATTCTGTGTGAGGTCTGGTAGTTGGATCAATCTTACCTCCCCTCTTTACCCCTGCAGACCTGGCTTCTGGCCAAGCTGAATGTCTTTGCTCCCCAAAATAGGGACCTAGACCCAGGTGTGCCCACATCGCCTCCGTTCTGCTCATCCCTGATTCTCCCTCTTATTCTCTGGCAAGAACCGCATCTCCCTTCCCTCCCTCAACAATTCATTAATTTGTTTCCCTAAGCTGCCTGCGAAGAATGCACCGGATCTTTTCCTCCCCCGGGGTTTCCCAAGTCCTGCGGTCCCCTATCAGGCTGTGACAGGGAGAAGGCGATTGGCGAGGCATCTGCCCTCCCACCTCTATCCGTCTGCTGCCATCGATCCTGCTAACCACCACCTCTGCGAAAAAGAAACCCTGGGCTCCCGCCAGACCCGCTGGCTCAATCCTGCCCACCTCTCCCTGGGGTGGCTCCCAGCCTCTGCAGCCCCTCACCCCCACCCTGCCCGGAATACTGCAGCGAGGGCTCTGCACAGCAGCCAACCTCCCACCCACCCCCTGCCTGCTGGGAAAGCGGTTAGGGAAGGTGCCATGAGAGTGGAACTGGGGTTCCCTCTACCGCCAGGAGCTCCGCGAAACCCCCGATACTCTGCCTTACCTCCAGCCCGGTTCAGGCATCCTACCACGAGCTCCTCTGCAGGGAGAGATCAGGAAGCCAGGGAGCCCGAGAATGTTTAAGCCCGGACACGCAGATCTGGGTTAATGGGTGCTAAGTGGAAATCCAGTGCGACTGGATGTGGGGAGACAAGTGTGTCTCCAAAATGAAACCGAAGTATATGTGGGCTGGGAAGGGGGGGTCCCCGACATTCCTTTCCCACCCTGTGCGCGTTCACTGCAGTGCAGCAGCCCCACCCGTTCCCCCTCCCTCCATACTTGTCTATGTTCCCTCTGTCTCAGTGGCTCTACGTCTGAAAATTGGCCTCTCTTCCTTTCTGTCTGTCTCTCTGTCTCTCTATCTCCCTGTCTCCTCCCAGCTCTGCATCTCTGAGAGACTGTCACCTGGGTTTTTGTGCCTCTGGCTGTCCTGTTTCTCTTGGTCTCTCTTTTAAGCTTTCTTAGCTCATCTCTTGCCACACCACTACCACCCTCTTCCCGCTTCAACAGTCCCTCTGGTCCTTAAGCATTTGCCTGTCAGGGAGTTCAGGAAATATCCACACTGTACTAGGCAGCCATGGGATAATGGCCCCCTTAACTGGCCCACCTCAGGGTGCTGAAGTCTTCCAGAACCTCCCTGGCTGCAGGCAGGATCCATCAGCTCCCACCCTTAAATTCCCATCTCTTCCCTTTAGCTTTCATCGCTGTGCTGGACCAGGCACCCGGTTGCCATAGCAACCTGTCCGAGCATCCTTTCTCTTGGGACTGTCACTCTCTAATCATAGGTCCTGTACAGGGTGCCCAAGAAACCCCAAGGGGCGTCAAGGAATGTGCTCTTGGGCTTCTGCCCATGACAGGGGCAGACATTTCCCTTTCCTATTCCTTTCAGTATGGGATTAACCCCACATCCTGTCCCCTAAACTCTTAGATCCAGGGTCCCTCCACCTCCATACTAGCACCCATTCCCTAGGCACCGCTCACCTTTTGTGGGGCTCTGTGTTGGGGTGGCCATACTGAGCCGGAGCAGGGGGCTGATGAATGCTGAGGCAGCGAAGGCGCGGCTGCAGCAGCTGGAAGCAGGACAGACTGATGTGGGGGGGTAAGGTGGGGGAGCCCTGGTAGGGCGGGGGGCCTGTAGCCAATGGGGGCCCGGAGAGCCCGCCCCCGTCCAGGCCATCCCCCCGCCCCCGCCCCCGCCCACTGCTGACGTCCCCGCCCCTTTCCCAAGGGTGGGGGCGCCCCCTGCCGGGGCCAAGGGGGCTCCGGGGTTTTCGCACAAGAGGCACTGAGACCAATCAAGCGCTATCAAGAGGAAAAACCGAGTTTTATTGGAGGTCTTAGCAGTAAGGGGTGTCCGAGAGACAGGGCTGAGGCAAGGGACACTGCAGGTGGCCACGGGCAAGCAGTTGGGTTAGGAGAGGAGTCAGGTGTTCAGGAAGTCCTGAGGGAGTGAAGGGAGTCAATGGCAAGAAGAGACCCCGAGCTCTCCTCGCCACGCTCCCACACTGGAACTGTGCCCCTCTTCCTCCCTCCCTCCCAGCTCAGTCCATCAGCTGCAGGACCTGGCTGAGCTTCCTGGAGCCAGGTGGAGGTTCTACCGCCTGCGGGTGGACAGACCTGAGGGGGGACACAGAGTTCAGCGTGAGTGGGGGGATCGGCAACCTGGGGTAACTCCCCGTCAAACGCATCATGCTGTGCGCCCAGGAAGCGGGGTTCTTGGAAACAGCTGCCCCACAAACCCCCGCCGCGTCCACGAACTCACGGCGGATGGAGCTGCGGAAAGTTCCCTCCTCTTCGTCGGGTTCCCCAGTTCTGGGAAGGGACAAACAGAAAAATTCGGATGGACCAGGAGAGGCAGTCACTTCCGAGAAGCTCCCAGTGTAGGCTTTATTTCCCAAACCGCACCCGGGACTTGGATATGGGCACGGTCCGTCCAAATCAAGAAGCACTCTGCTGCTGTTTCGGGGTGCGGCAGGAGATGCTCCCAACCGGCCTCCGGGATGTTGGGGAAGGGACTTAACATTGTTGGGGAGAGGGACAGTCACAGGGTCTTGGGAGACAGCTCTGATGGTACTTTGGTCCGGTGAATGACCCTAAGTCACCTTACCTCCCGTGCCTCAGTTTCCTCATCTGCAAAACGGGATGATGATGGTACCCACCTCATCCAGGTGGGGTGAGGGGTACATAACAGGGAAGGAAGAAGCACCTGGCGCGTGGTGTGCACTCAGGCATGCCAGAGGGTGGTATAGAGGCATCTGTGATCGTCTTAGCATGCAGAAGGCATGCCTACGTTGCCTGCGCTTTAAAGGTTTATTTCGAGAGGGATCCTGCGCGAGGATGGGGACTGGAGCTAAACTGGGCCGCCCTGTGAGGTGATCTCATTTCAGCACGGCAGCTCCTTCCCAGCATCGCTTCACTATGCCTGAGTTTCCGTCTGCCGAGCTGGTGGGAGCCCAGCGCCCCCACTGGCTGGGAACTGGGCCAAGTAAAGAGAGGGCTTGACCATCGCTTGGGTCCAAGAGCTTGACTTGGAATTTGGCACACGCTAAGCGCTTAATACGCGGTTCGTGTTTGACTGCAGGATGGGTGTGCTTGCCGCCTCTCCCCAGCCGCCTCTCCACTGCGGGAGGAGCGAGGAAGGCCCGGAGGTAGTACTCACCTCTGCTGTTGGTTGAATTTGCACCGACATCTCTTGCCTGTGGAGTGGGAGGGTATAGGCTGAGCTTTCCTCTTGCTCCCGCATCCCTAGGCTCTCCTCCAAACTCGGGAGGCCGCGGGGGTGGGGCGTGGGGCGGGGCTGGAAGAAGGGTAGGGCGTGGGGCGTGGCCTATAGGGACTGGGCGGGAGATGAGGGGCGTGGCTTAAAGTGGGGTGTGGTCTTGTGGGGCGAGGCTGGAGTCAGGGTGGGATGTGAGAGATGTGGTTGAAGGCTGAGCCTGTGTGGGTAGGGCAAGTTGTGTGGTGTTGGGAGCGGGCTTGGGGAGGGAAGTCTGGAGGCGGGGCCGAGAAGGCAGGTGCAGACACTCACTAAGGATGATAAGAATGCCCAGGATGAAGAGGATCCCAGCGATGGTGAGGCCGCCAATCCTCAGTGTGTGGTAATCTGTGGGTAGCCCCGAGGAGAATGACCGTAGGGGAAGAAGGGTCCAATGGGGAAGAGTATGCAGGGCAAAGGGGAAGAGAGGAGGAGAAGGGAAGGACAGATGTGTGAGAGAAGAGGAGCAGACGTGTGAAAGGAGAGGGCAGGGCAGAGGAAAGAGGGGGAGAGGGGTAGAGGAAGAGAGGAGGGTAGCCCGCAAAGGGAAGGTTGGAGAGGAGGGTGCCACGAAAAATGGAGGAAGTAGGGGATGGGGCCCCTAATATTGAGAAACCAGTCCAAATGAGACAGGGATATCAAGAGACAGGCAGAGGAGTCTAAGACAAGCAGGGCAGGAGAAAGTGAGGAGAGAGAGAGAGAGAGAGAGAGAGAGAGAGAGAGAGAGAGAGAGAGAGCATGGAAACACCCAGTCCCTCTCTCCAAACCCCATAGTAGCTTTCCTCACCATAGGTGAATGGATCCGGTTCCTGTGGACCTTCTAGAAATAAAAATAAAAATGAATGTTTGGGTATCTCTTGGGATCGGTGACAGGGAAAAGCATAGCAGGACCCTTTGGGAGCTCTACCGACCTTCTTGGGCTGGGAGTTTGGGTGCTACAGGACCACAGACTATTCTGTGCCAGTCTATTCTGTATCCTAGCAACTTCCTGTGGTGACCCAGTATCCTGATATCTTACAGGTTGTTCATGTTTCCATCAACCAGAGACCCAGCTTCTATCCACTTCCCCTTCTGTGTAACTCGGGTATCCTCCTTTCTCCCCCAAGCGCCAGCCATGACCAGAGCCTCTGTGGTGATGCTTGATTTCCAGTTACATGATTCCTTTAGTTTGGGGTCTTTTCTCAGGGGCCTTCTCCTCCCCCTGACACTGAGGCAGAGGACATTTCCTTTGGACTCACCTGCACTGGCCATGGTGAGGAGACACACGCAGAGAGCCAGGATGTGGCAGGGAGATGCCATTGCCCTAAGAAGTCAGCCAGGGTCAAGAAATGTCCTCTCCCCTGCTCTCCTCCCCTCCTTGGAAGGGCCTGAGCCCACAGGGTTAGGTCAAGGACAACCGGAGGACTTGAGGGAGGAGTGTCAGCCATTCAACTTAGTTGTCCGAGAAACAGGGGCTCCCCAGCTTCACAGGAACCATGTCACTGAAACAACTCCATAATGGGGATCAGGAGACAGGCTACACAGCACACACATCAAGGCAGGGTGGGGAGACACACAGCCCTTGGGCGGCCTTCCGCGGGCTACCCCCACCAACAGTTGGTCCCAGAGTCCCCAAACCTACCCTTGTAAGGGAAGCAAGCTGCCTCTGGACACAGGTGAAAACGCTGAGACAGACAGCAGGGCACGCCCAGACCCACCTGCCCCTACACACCTCAACCAGTGGTCTCTCTGGACCCTGACAGTCCCGGCTCTCCTGCCCTCGGCTGCCTGCCCGCTCTCTCCCTGACCCTGGGTATAAATATCTCCCACTTCACCCTGGAGGAATTCACTGCACACAGGCCACCATGGCAACAGCCCCCCCCGCCCCGAAGACTCGGGGGGTCCTGTAGAAGGCTGCTGGGGTGAGGCTCAGCCAGGAGCCACATCCCCATAGGCCACCCCATCTCCTTTCCTGAAAGCTGTGAGAAAAGGGGACAGCGCCCCTCCCTTGGCCCTCCCCTGGATGACATCTTTCATAACAAGGCAGCATTAGGCAAGCAAGTGACAAGAGGCCCGTGCTAGTGGGCCTGAGAGAAGTTAGATGTCTGCTTTAGGGGCACATATGAGCGCGCACGCACGCACACACACACACACACACTTATATGTGGGTGCACACCCACACATACACACACCAAGAACAGGTGTGGCTGGAATGGAGACAAACACCCTTTCCCCAAACTGCTAGTTGGAGGAACACAGGGTGTAGACACAAGCACATATTCCTCCGGGCCCTCTGTGCCCCGAACAGTGACAGAAACAGACCTACACAAATGAGTACCCAAGCCTCAACCCCAGCCAGGGGTCTCACACAGTAGCCACTGAAAAAGGGAGGAGTCACGGGCTCTCCCGCCCCTGTGCAGCCCGTCCCCATGCTCTCCTCCCTCTTGGGTCAGGCCTGCCCGAGAAGCCACAGGCTGGCCACTCTTGTTCCCAAAATAGGCCTCCCAACTAGGGGAGCAGAGAGGCCTGGAGGGAGGGCTGGGCGTTGCTCACCCCATTCACGCTGTCCCTGCTGACAGAAGACCCCCAAATGTCCAGCTGTGCACCCTGGTAGCTAAGCACTTTAGACCCCCTGGCCCAGAACTGGACGCTCCACCCCTGCAGGCTTCCCTCCTGGCCCCACCCCACTCTTGCCCTCCCCAACAAGCAACTGAAACTGGAGCCCAGGCTGGAGGGGGGCCAGGGGGCGGCCCCCAGCCCAGACCGCCCTGCCCCGCTAGATTAACTCTCTCAGCACAGCCAGGGAGCCACATGTGGCCGCATGTGAACAGATGTGTGTGTGTGTGTGTGTGTGTGTGTGTGTGTGTACGTGTGCTTGCACACACACACACACAACACAAATACAAGCCTGCTTCTAGACCAAAGTCAGAGAATGTTTTCTGCTAGGATTCCTGGGAATTGGCCCAGCTGGGGCCTAAGGTCACACAGCCTAAGTGCTTGCGAGGGCACTGACCTCTGACCCAGTGTTCTGCCAACGTTTGATAACTAGCTTTTTATTTTAAATGTGTGGTGCTTCAATTTTGTATGTGTATGGTGTGCTGCTGACTCAGATTCACCAGGAGTAACACACACGCATAAACCAAAGTCACAGACACCTAGCTAGCTCGCTAACACTAGACTCAAAGCATGGCCAGAATATTGTACACACAACAGCTTATCTGCACACACGTACACACACACACACTTGGGTAACTGTGCAGATACAGCCAGGATATAACCAGTGGATGGGTCTGGTAGTACACTCAGGAAGCAGAGGCAGGAAGATCGGGAGTTCAAGGTCAGCCTGGCCTGCAAAGTGAGCTACGCAGAGAGAGCGACGTAGAGAGACACACACTCCTTCTCATAAAAAAGACATTGCCGTGCCTCCGACTACTCTTACACGCAGCTGCACACTGTCACACACAGCTCACAGGAGCACGTTCAAAGGCAGACTCACACCCAGCACTTCTGTTCCCACACCGCAAGGAGATGAGCGCCGTGAACTCAAGCAGCCCATAGGAAAGTGGGCGCGCCGGCGTGTTAACAGTGGGGGCTCCTCTTGCGCATGACCATCTCCAGCCCACACACTGTGCACAGACCAGTGGTATATTTATACAGTCGCAGATGACCTGTGGGCGTGTCACGGTCTATACAGTCACAGACATGCAGGGCCACATGCTCCAAAGCCGCAGATGTGCACTTGATCTTGAACTTCCCATTCCCTGAGCTCATGTAATCCTGATGGTGGCATAGGGAAAACACTCTTGACATCTTCACAGGCCAGACAGCCTCACAAGCCCTAGAGACAGAGAAACTGGCGCGTGCTGGGGGGGACAGGCATGGGTTCAAGACTCCTTGCTGTATGACCTTTGACCTTGGGCAGCTCTTGAGACCTCACTGTCATTTGGGTGTCTTGGGCTACAGAATGGAGCAGCGTCTGACATATCTGCAACTCCTGGCCAGGCTTAGAGGGCAACTAACTTGACATCTTCTTGTCATCTCCATTTTAGAGACTGGTAAACTGAGGTCTAGATAACTGATTTTTCTTAAGCCTCTTCACTGGTAGAAATGTCCCCAGCCTCAGGCAAACAGCAACCCAGACGCCGTGCTCTGCAGACAGGAGCACAGACACAAGCCTAGCCTCATATATTCCGTGGTCCCACAGCCTTCTACCCAGGCTGTCCCAGCAACCCTGGTTCCAGACAACCCCGATGTTTACACAATGGTGGGAGGGCGTGGGGTGAGGTGGGAGACAGCTTCCCTTGCTTACAGAGTGGCTCTGAAGTGCTTAGTACTACAACTCCGTCCTTTCTGTCCTTTCTTGCTGTGTGGTGCTATAGTGATGGCAGCCTGTCTGGGGCTCAGTTGTCCGTTCTGTAAAATGGAAAGAACAACAGGATTCCCCCACAGAGGGAGGTGGTGTGGTTATCTAGAACAATCCACGCGAAGCAGTGAAAACTGGTGCATGTCCTGCAAGGCCGCTACACACGGTCGATGTTTGTTTTCACCAGGTTACCCCTGTCTTCGTGATGTACCAGAGGGAGAACCTGCCAGAATGGTTCAGGCTTGCCACTGTCCCCTTTGGATTCCTAGCAGAAACTTTTAAATTGCTCTCGTGTGTGTGTGTGTGTGTGTGTGTGTGTGTGTGTGTGTGTGTTTGAGACAGGCTCTTATTTCACACACCCAGGCTGGCCTCAAACTCACTATATAGCCTAGACTAGTCTCCAACCGGGGATCCTCCTGCCTCCCCCTTCTGAGCGCTGCAGATACGGTGTGCCCGCCACTCTGAGCACTGCAGATATGGTGTGCCCGCCACTCTTGAGTGCTGCAGATACGGTGTGAACGCCACTCTGAGCGCTGCAGATACAGTGTGCCCACCACTCTGCTGCAGATACGGTGTGCCCGCCACTCTGGGCGCTGTAGATACGGTGTGACCACCACCCTGAGCCTTTCTCAGTGTACTCCTGTGTAGGACTGAGGATGTGGCTCGGTTAGCAGAGTGCTTCCTTAGCACTCAAGGAGTCTTGGCCTCAGTCCTCAGCACTGGAGAAATGATCTCACTTGGAAGTGAACACGCATGCTTATTCCCAGAGGAGGAGGAGGCAGGAGGGTTGGGAGATCAAGGTCATCCATGGCCAGCCTGAGTTATGTGAGGCCCTGTCTAGACTTATTGCCCCAATGCCTGCCTGAACCCCAGAGACGGGAGCTGTTTCTTTAGTTCACTGAGTCGTCTCCTCAGTCGGGGCATAGATTGGCATCAATAATCCCATTGACAGATGAGGACGCTGAGGAGCAGAGAGGTTGAGTAACTTGACTGAGGCAACACAGCCTGGGCTGGACCCAGGATCTGTTTGGCTCCAGTACTCCAATGCATCTTAGTGGCAAGAGGCTTGATGTTCCTCAGTCTTTTGACCCCCGGCAACTAAGTGATTGTTTCTACTAAGCTAGACATAACTGGCTCTCGTGCCTCTGTTTCCCCATGTTGGAGCAGGGATTGTAAAGCAGTAACAGTATTGCTCTACCTCCCCACTTCACAGAGCTGCTGTGACGTCAATGACCTAACACGTGTAAAACTTGGCACACAGTTGAGTGTGGTGGTGCCCATCTGTCATCCCAGCACTTGGGAGGCTAAGCCAGGAGAAGTTTGCGCTTGAGGGCATCCTGGACTACAAAATAAGTCCCAGGCCGGTCTCAAAACAAGCATGCAAACATAAAAGACTGGCACATAGCCTGAGGGGCATGAGAGGGACATCCCACCAGGACCTTAGGTTGGGTTCTGTGTGATTTACATATTTTTTTTTTCTCATTTCATGGAGAGAATCTGTCTGAGTTTCTAAAAGCTTAGGACAGGTGAAAATACCTGGTTGTACACATCTCAGCCTCCAAAAAGAGCACGCAGAATAATATGAGGGGCCCAGAGCCGGCTTCTTGGATTTGGATCCTGGCTCTGCCTCCACTGAGGCCAGCCACCCTGAGCCCCTGACCTTTCTTCATTTGTAAATTGGTCATGCAAATGACACTGGCTTGAGGGTCATGGGAAGAGTAGAACGCTGGTGGCGACGTTTTAGGACAAAGCTCGACAGATCTTCCCTGGAAGAGAGAGGCAGCGCCATCGCCTTAGCTCTTGCATTCAGTCTTGGATCTCATAGAGTTAATCCCAGGGACAGGGAGGGAGCTCTGACTTTGGGGTAGTGCAGCCGTCCTGCCAAAGTTGACCACCAGGGGGAGCAGCCGGACCGGTACTGGGCCTGGTGGAGCTTTGGTGACAGGATGGACCACACCCTTTAAGAGAAGGGGCTGGTGGGACAGCTGGGATATCCCCCTTCCCCCAGTGACTTCTCCTCCTAGCCCCTCCCATCTGCAGTCTGCAGAGCCATCTGGTCTCCACCCTGGGGACATCCTTCCCACTCTTCCCCTGGGGTTGAGTAGGGACTCTGATGAAGGGGTTGGTTGGGAGTGCCTAGGGTGGCTCAAGCTCTTGGCAGCCCCGCCCCCTCAAAGGCCATTCAGTCCCTTCCCTGAGCCTTTTCTTCCTATGGCCTCTGACCCCCTCCTTCCTACCCTTCTGCTGGGCGCATCCCAGGCCACAGCAAGTGGGACAAGAGTGTGGGAGGACACACAGAAAGTACTGGAAACTTGAAACGGGGCAGGGAGGTGAGCATTACGGACATCAGGCAGAAGTACCAGGACAGACAGACAGACAGACAGACAGACAGACACACACACACACACACACACCAGAGTTCTAGAGGCCAAATCAGAGACACAGAGAGACAAAGACAGAAGTAGACAAGAGATTGCAGGGGTGGGAAATAGAGTAATAGAAAGATAGGGAGAGAAAGCTAGTGACAGAGAATCCCACACTCCAGATACAGGGAGTCCCGAGGGAAGGACTGGGAGAGAGAACAAGGCGAGGCAGCCACAGGACAGCATGGCCAGCAGCAGGGTGGAGGAGCATCATACAAAGATGTAGCGGTCCGGGTCTGGTGGACTAGGGTCGCTGGGAGCCTGGGCAGGGGCAGGGGGCATGGGAGGGGCAGGCATTCTGTTGTTGCTGTTGGCCGGGGCTGGGGCAGGAGTGGCCTGGAGTCCCCCCAAAGGAAAGTGTCCTCCACGTTGTTCCTGTTCCAAGGAAAGTACTCTGTGTGAGGGCTCCACCGAACTGCCCGAGAGCTTCTCCACCACGCTCCTGTCACTGTGAGTGCCAGGCCCTCTGCGGGCCTAAAGGGAGGGAGGAGGAGACCTGGAACTACAGGACTTGGGGTAGGAGGTTGGGGTCTCTATCAGAATCTTGGATACCAAAGAATTCTGGGATGTCTGAAAGAGGGATGCTGAGATTTGGAAAGGTGCCGACTGAGGGAGTCCCAAAGGGCAGGGGGAACAATGGGAACACTGGAAGTGCCGTGTCCCGGGGCTGAGTACTGCCGAGGACCTTGTATGCATGTGGAGGGAATGGCGGAGGGCAGAGACAGAGGGCAGTAGGAGGCCAGGGCCTCCAGAGCAGCCAGGGCCTCTGACTTTAGAGAGGGAAGCTGAAATGGCTTCCTGCTTACTAATCTCATGCCCCCAGATCCCTTGTCAGGATGGGGGTCTCCCAGCTGAAGGCTGGCAGCTTCATGAAGATGCCATCATTACACCTACTGTGAGTATGTCCTGGCTGGGCCCACAGCTCTCTGCTCAAGGGAATGGCTGTTTCCTGTGTGTGTGGAGATGCGTGTGTGTGTGTGTGTGTGTGTGTGTGTGTGTGTGTGTGTATGCATCTCATGCACGTGGACATTCATGGGAAGTGTTCAGACACCTGTGAAGACACGTGTACATTGTGTGTACTTATGGAAGCATCTGTGTCTATTCACATATGCCCATGCTTGCATGTGTGTCTTTGGATTGGATGGAGGTTAAGGGCACAGCCATAGATACTGGCTTGCAACTCTGAAGACTTCTGCCTTGCCCCCTTGCCAGGCTCTTCACATCAAATACCTTCTCCGTGATCGAGGACGATGCCTTCATCGGCCTGTCCTACCTTCAGTACCTGTGAGTACAGCCAGAGACTGGGGGAAGGTGGGTCTGGAGGGGTGGGCGAGCCTCTCAGTGACTCCCAGTGTAAGAAGACAAAAGGAGGTGGTCTGGGGAAGGGAGCGTCTGACCAATGGCAGGTCCCTAGGAGGAAGGCTGCAATGTGGACAATTCAGGGGTTACTGGTCAGTGGTCAGAAGTGAATCTCATCTCTGCGTTCTTTAAGATTCACAATGAAAGCTGGCTCTGGTGGCTCAGGCCTGCAATCCCAGCTATTCAGGAGTCTGAGTCAGGAGCATGGATAATTTATGGCCTGCTTGGACTACAGAGTGAGTTCAAGGCTAACCTGAGCAATCCAGTGAGACCCTGTCTCATAATAAGAAAAAATTATATGGGAGGGTGTTGGGAGGAGGGGTGGAAATAGAAACTTTTATAAATTAATAAACTTTGGAAAAAAAGAAATAATTATAATAAAGTAAAAGACTAGGGATACATCTTGGGGGTAGACATTTGCTTAGCATGTGTGAGACCCCAGGTTTCAGTCCCAGTCCTGGAAACCAAGAATTAGCAAAGGGCCTAGGTAGCCAGAATCAGTTGTTCTGATGCAGGGGGATTTTAGGAGGTCAGAGCCAGGAAACATTTAAAATTACCCAGAAGCCACTTGAAGCTATGCAGTGACCATGTGACAGTATGGGTGGCAGTGCCAATGTGCAGGTATTAGGTTGCTGGAGGGGACGGCTGTATGACAGGTTTGCAGGGCCGTTGGCAGTGTGATAATGCTGCTGTGGATGATGGGATGTAGGGGGTGTCCCTTGTAACTGATGAAAGGGACGTGATTGTAGGTGGACTGTTCTTTCCTGCCCACCATTCCCAAATAACCAACACGAAGACTTAATATAAATTATAAATAGTCAGCCAATAGCTCAGGTTTATTACTGACTAACTCTTACAACTTAAGTTAACTCATTTATAATCATCTACATTCTGCCACATGGCCTTACCTCTCTTTCAGTGACAGTTATGGAGGGTTGCTGACCAAAATGGCTGCCACAATAGTGTTGGTGCTATTGAAGCTATTTATAAAGTGTGTGGGACTGGTGTTTGTGATGATTGTCAGTGTAGAGGCCCATGCTTATGGCGTGTGTTGATGTTGGTCATGGCAATGGGTGGAATGTTGGTGGGAGTTTTCTAGTTTTGTATTTTCTATTTGTTTTTGTTGTTGTTGTTGTTTTGTTTTGTTTTGTTTTAAAACCTGGGGTCTCGGGCATGCTAGGAAAGTAGTTCTTAACTCCTCACTGGGGGATTCTAGGCAGGGGTTCTACCACTGAGCCATATGCCCAGTCCCTCACTGGGGGATTCTAGGCAGGGGCTCTACCACTGATCCACATCCCAGCCCCTCACTGGGGGATTCTAGGCAAGGGCTCTACCACTGAGCCAAAACACATGCCCAGCCCTTCCCTGGGGTATTCTAGGTAAACATCCTATCTCTGAGGCACACCTCAGCCCAGGTGCCATGGTTTTAAAAAATGTTGCACTTATTTTGAGGAATGGGGTGACCGTGCATACTCCATGGTCCATATATGAAGTCAGACAACCTCTCTTTCCACCACATGGGTCCCAGGGATCGAACTTGGGTTGTCATGGTGGCAACCGCCTTTACCTGTTGAGTCATGCCCCAGCCCTGTTACTAGTTTTGACGGTGTTGTTGGCTCTGGGTTTACCAATGGTGATGAAGTTGCTGCTGTTCATAAAAACACCATGCTGGGGGTGGTGGTGGGTGGTGGGAATGTTGGTGGTGACGGTGATGCTGTTGGTACCAGCTGAGGTTTGTAACAATGGTGGCAGTAATGGTGTCATGGCGGCGGTTTTGTTTCTGGTCATAAAGGTGTGATATTGCTGTGGGGTTGACAATGGGTGTTACTGGAAGGTAGTGAGGTGTTGCTGGAAGTGGGTAGAGACGGCCAGCACCATTCTGGGGTTAACGGCTGTTGCTGATGCTAAGTTCAGTGATGATAAGTGAGGCACACATGTTGGTGCCACTGGTGCCAGGGTGGTGGTGGTGGTGATGGTAGACGTATGATAAGCTTACGTATGATGACTTATGTATGATAAGCTTGTCGGTGACCATAGAGCCAAAACCTTGGCTACTGTGAGAGCAGCCTGGTGAAGAATGGTTTCCTTGTGGTCATTCTAGGTGAGGGAGGAGAAAGGAGCCCTTCTGGTGGCTTCCTAGGGCCGGTTTCTCCAGCACTGGGGGCCTCTCCCTCACTCCACCTTCTCCCCACAGCTTCATTGAGGACAACAAGATTGGCTCCATCTCCAAGAATGCCCTGAGAGGACTCCGCTCACTCACACACCTGTGTGTATCTCCACAGCCCAGTCTTCCACCATAGGCACCCGACCCATCCCTCAAGGTCATAGCATCTCCTGGCCACGGCTGACACTCTTTCTTCTCCTGCTCCATCAGAAGCCTGGCCAACAACCACCTCGAGGCTCTCCCCAGATTCCTGTTCCGAGGCCTGGAGACTCTGACTCACGTGTGAGCTCAGGCTCAGGGAGGGCGGAGGGCGGGGCTTGGGAATGTTGATAGGGAGGGCTTCGCTTGTCCTTTCCTGTCACCTGAGGGTGCCATCCTCACCTGAGAAGGTGTCTCGGCCTCTAAGCCAGAGACACTGGGTCATAGCCTCTTCCTGGCTTCTCACCCCAGGGACCTCCGTGGGAACCCGTTCCAGTGTGACTGCCGAGTACTTTGGCTGCTGCAGTGGGTGCCTACGGTGAATGCCAGCGTGGGCCTGGGGGCCTGTGCAGGCCCCTCTGCCCTTGCCCAAATGCAGATCAACCACCTTGACCCGAAGAAGTTCAAGTGCAGAGCCACAGGTGAAGGCTTCCTGTTCCCTCCCTAACCCCTCAGCAGTGGGAGTGACAACAGGGCCTCCAAAGAAGAGAGGAAATCAGGGAGGAAGGGGCAGCCACAGGGCTGAGGCGTTAACCTCCCTGAACTTCGGTTTCCTCATTTGTAAAGCAGGGGTGTATCCAGTGATCACAGATCTCTGTGAGGATTGAACGCTAGGCAGTATTTCTCTTTACTTTTTGACAGGCTCTCAGTTCACCTCACCAACAAGGCTGGTGCTGAACTTGTGACTCTTCTGCCTCCTCCCCCTTCTGTGGGCACAGTTTCTGATGCCGGTCCCAGGACAAGAGACTTTTATATTATTATGGTTTTTGTTGTTGCTATACGTATCTGTGTCTGTCTGTGTATGGCATATGCATTCAAGTCCAGATGTGGGATTCCCTGGACTTGGTATTAAAGGCATTGTAAACTGTCTTGCATGGGAGCTGGGAACTGGGACTCCAGTTCTCCCCAAGAGCAGCAAACGCTCCTAACCCTGAGCCATCTCTACTGCCCTTGTTTGTCGCTATTTTTGATTTGTTTTCTGAGACAAAGTCTCACTATGTAGCCAGAGCTGGCTTCGAACTTGTAGCAATCCTCTGGTCTCAGCCTCCCCAGTACTAAAGACAGGTGTGTAGCACTATGCCTGGCTCGCAAAGCATTTTTTGTGAGTCTTTGCTGGTATTGTTAATAGGAGGCCTTTAAAGGTCCCTCCTATGCATCTGTTTGGTCCTGGGAGCTGCGGGGACATCCCTCCTCCCTGGGGCTTTTCTTCTTTTAGCTCTTCCACGAATGTATAGAATATATCGTGACATTTTCTGAGTGCTGGGTCATGCAGGAGGACAGGGGATGGGTGGCCCTGGATCTCACCCTTCCTGAGGTGAGAGAAGGAAGGCAACCCCAAACAGTCCAGGATGATTCCTCCAAAATAAGAAGGCACAGACAGGGAGTAGGGACAGAGTTGGGAGGCACAGGCAGAGTCTGGGACAGGAGTGAGGAAGTCAGGACTGGAGAAGACATTAGCATCTGAGGAAGCCCAGAGCCGGGACCAGGGAAGCCAAGGAAGGGCGCAAACAACCAGTAATAGGGTTTTGTTTGCAGTTTGTTGTTGCTTTTTGAGACAGGGTTTCTCTGTGTAGCCCTAGCTGTCCTGAACTCACTCTATAAGTCAGACTGGCCTCGAACTCACAGAGACCCGCCTGCCTCTACCTCCCTCAGTGCTGGGATGAAAGACATGTAACCACTACCGACCGGCTTTGTTTGTTTCAAAACATGTGTGTGAGGGAGTAGTGGTCCCATGTGTACCATGGCACACATGCGGAGATCAGAGGATAAGCGGGAACTGATTCTTTCCTTGTACCTTGTGGGTTCTGGGATTGAACTCAGCTCCATCAGACTGGCAAGTGTCCTGAGCCATCTCCCCAGCCCGGGAAGGACTGATTAAAGGACTCTGATTTTTCAAAGATTCTTCAGGGCGTGGTAGCACATGCCTGCAATCTCAGCACTGGAATGACTGAGGCTGGAGGATTATAAACTTGAGACCCGTGTAGGTTACATGGTAAAGGCCTGCCTAAAAACAAAAATTCCCTTTGTTGAATGGCCTCGGTTTTAGCTTATTATTTCAACCTTGCTACCTAGGAACAGGGCCTGGTATATAGGGTGGCATACCACCAATGGAGTTACAGCCTGGGTCTCCCACTGACAACCTGGAGAGTGAATTAAAGAGTTTCCTGGGCTGGTGAGATGGCTCAGTGGGTAAGGGCACTTGCCACCAAGTCTGATAACCTGGGTTCAATCCCCAGAACCCATCTGATGGAAGGAGAGAACCAGCTCTCGCACTTGCCCTCTGACCCCCAGACCTGTGTCATGCAACCCTACATATACACATATACACAAGTGGGAGCAGATAACCCATCTTCTGCATGAGTGGGGTAGCCCCTAGCTGCTGCCCTTGTATTTATGGTTCAGACCAGGTTGTGACACCGCTGTGTGATTTGGGGTATGGCAAAAAGGAATCGAAAGAGGCCAGATCCAGGCCAAGTCATGTTCACACAGTGAAGTGGATATCGCACTGAGGAGCGCCTTAGTAGGGGTGCTGGAACATTCTGGTGGGTCTGCCTGATGGTCATCTCCATGCTTCATGAAAAAACTGGTGTGTGTGTGTGTATCTGTGTGTATGAGTTGTGTGTGCGTGTGTGTGTTACTAGGGATTAAACTCAGAATCTTTCACGTTAGGCAAGCATTCTGCCACTGAGCCACACACCCCAGCCCTTCACTGGGGGATTCTAGGCAGGGGCTCTACCACTGAGTTACATATATCCCAGCCCTCTTTTTACTTTTTTTGGTGTTGAGATAGGGTCTGCTATTAAGTTGACAAGACTATCCTGAACTCCTGTATCCCAGACAGGCCTTGAACTTTCAATCGTCCTGGCTCATCCTCCTGAATAGCTGGGCTGACAGGCCTGTCTTCTGTGCCCCAGTTCCAGCTGGGGAGAATGAATGTTGCTGGCTAACTGGCTGCCCCGGCCACTTATCCTCAAGTTCTCATGGTAACAAAGTGTAGCTCACAGGAATGCCATGGAGTTGAGTAACTAAACGTGCTGTTTGATTTGTTTTCTGGTTTTGAGACAGGATCACAGTATGTAACCCAGGCTGGCCAGCAACCAGAAATCCTCCTGCCTCAGCTTCCTCAAGGCTGCGATCACAAGTGTGTCCCATAACTTCTGTCTAATACAGTTTCCAAGGGATTATTTGATGATGCCACATGGCCTTGAAAAGAAAGACATTCGTGTTTCTGAGAGTTAACACATCTGTAGACAAAAAGGTTCCATTCTGTAGGTCCCTATGTGGTGAACACTGCGAAGTCTCTTTTCAAAGATGTGCTAACCAAGGCCCATCAATGAGGTCCCCTGCCCACTCCCAGGCACCCCTGACTCTCTTGCTGCCTCTAGAACTGTCCTGGCTCCAGACTGTTGGGGAGTCGGCACTGAGCGTGGAGTCCTTCTCCTATCAGGGGGAACCTCACATGATCCTGGCACAGCCCTTTGCTGGCCGCTGCCTGATCCTGGTCTGGGACTACAGCGTGCACCGCTTCCGGACAGAGGAAGAGGTGTCTGGTGAGCTCCCCTCCTCTCCTGGCCCCTTCCCTCCTGTCCCCAGATTGCCACTGAGCCTGACTGTGTCCCACTCTCCCTACAGCGCCCTCCGTGGTGTCCTGCAAACCTCTGGTGCTGGGCCCACGCCTCTTCATACTGGCTGCCCGTTTGTGGGGAGGCTCATATCTGTGGTCTCGGCCCAGCGCCGACCTGCATCTGGCCCCAATACAGGTCCTAGCCCCTCAACGCCTACTGCGACCCAATGATGCCGAACTCCTGTGGTTGGATGGGCAGCCCTGCTTCGTGGTGGCTGATTCCTCCAAAGCTGGTCGTACCACCCTGCTGTGCCAAGACGGGTCCGGCTTCTACCCACGCCAGAGCCTGCACGCCTGGCACCGCGACACCGACGCTGAGGTCCTGGAGCTAGATGGCCGACCGCATCTGCTGCTTGCTTCGGCCTCCCAGAGGCCTGTGCTTTTCCATTGGTTTGGTGGCCGCTTCGAAAGGCGCACAGACATCCCAGAGGCCGAAGATGTCTATGCCACGAAACACTTTCAGGCCGGTGGAGATGTGTTCCTGTGCCTGACACGATACATTGGGGACTCCATGGTGAGACTGGGGGCAGGCAGTGGTGTCCAGGCCTGATCACAGTAGTTGACAGGGGGCTGGAACACTATTTCAGCACGGCCCCTCACGGGTGAACTCCAGGCAAGGGTTCTACCACTGAGCCTCACCCACAACCAATCCCTGACAAATTCTAGGCAAGCAAACCACACCCCCAACCCCTTTCTAGTGGATTCCAGGCATAAGCTCCATATGAAAGCTGCACTCCTGACCCTCAACTGATGATCTACAGCCCGAGGCAGACTCAGGGTCTTAGCAGGCAGTCCAGGCTGGCCTCAACCTTGTGGCTCAGCCCTGTGCTATTGTAACAGGAATGTGCCAACATGATCTGCTTGGCTAAGCTTGTTCTACTCTGCTAAGCTTGGCTCTGTAACGCTAGAACATTCCAGCATGACAGTTAACTCCGACCACACCCTTCCCATTGGGATACTACCCCCTCAAGGTTGAGCTGGTGTTAGGCCCCGCTCACCGTCTCCAAGATTCTCTTTTCAGAATGAGGTACAGTCAGGGACAGACCCCCCCCCAACTCAGTTATGTGAGGGGTCTCCAAGGGAAGACAGTGGAGACAAGAACAGGAGTCGGGAGAAGGTGGATGTGTAACACATGACAGTAAGATCAGTAGACCCTTGCTGGACACTCTGTGTAGCACGTGAGGGAGAGAGAAAGGTCTAGAACAATTATCTGCTCTGAGAAGGTGAATGTTATCTATACACTGAGGAAGCTGCTGGGCATTGTGCTGGTGTCACAGGCCTGTCTTCTCACTGCCCGGAAGGTTTGAGACAGTCGGTCACTGCCAGCAAGTTTCAAAAAAAGAAAAAAAAAGCTACAGAGAAACTGAGGCCCCACAGGCTCATGTTACAAGTCCTCCAGAGCCTTGACCCAGGCTCACTCTAACTAGCTTCCACACCTTGCAGGTCATGCGCTGGGATGGCTCCATGTTCCGCTTGGTACAGCAGCTTCCATCTCGAGGTTCCCACGTGTTCCAGCCAATACTAATCGCCAGAGACCAGTTGGCCATCCTGGGCAGCGACTTCGCCTTCAGCCAGGTCTTTCGCCTTGAACCTGATAAAGGGATCTTGGAGCCGCTACAGGAGCTGGGACCCCCGGCCTTGGTGGCCCCCCGAGCCTTTGCCCAAGTCACCGTCGCCGGAAGACGCTTTCTATTTGCAGCGTGCTTCAAGGGCCCCACGCAGATCTACCAGCACCACGAATTGGATCTCAGTGCCTGAGGTTGGGCAGGAAGTGGTTGAGGGGCTGGCAAGGGCATCCTGCGACATCGGGGTACCCTCTTGGACCTGGTCACCTGGCCATCACAGCCAGTCCTATATGATACACCATTCACTATCCAAATGCATCAGCCTGGGTCAGGCTTAGCCCACATTTTGGATGATCTGCAGCTTAGGGGCAAACGGGAAGAGGTCTCTCTGCTCCCAACAACGTTTGGATCCCACGCAGTCTGAAACCACATTTTGACTGAGGACAGGTGCTCCCATAGACAGTGACTTGGGTGCTCAGCCTGGGACACAGCAGGGAGCTGGGATACAGAAATCAAAATCTGCTGAGCTCCAAGAGGTCCAAATATCCCGCCCTCAAAGACCCCTTGGTCCTGCTCCATAGAAAGTACCGAGAGAGAGCTTTCTTTTCCACTCAAACCCAATCTGGCCATTGGCTTTAGTGGAGGAATATGTATCTCTGTGACATTCAGTGACATCACAGCAGATGGGCAGTTTCTGGGCCTGGTACTTTGCTGCATGTAGGCATGTCTGCTGCCAAAGACTGACTGCTGGCGTCTTGTCGCTTTTACGTGTGTGCAGAAAAGGTGAATCAGTAATGATGAGCCTGGAGGTATCAGAGAAAGCCCTGGGCACCCTGTTCCCAGAATGTGACAGGGGCAAGAACAGAAAGTGAGTCCGTAAATAAATGTCCTGTGCTCCCCACGACCTGCCCTGTCTGTGGGCACACGGCAGGAGGGTCTTGTGAATATTGCTGAGTGGCGGGTGATGGCCCTGGATGGGACCCTGCGCAAGAAGTTTGCTTTGAAAGGTTTTAGGCATTTTCCAGGGTGTCACATGGCATCCTTCTGGAGGCCCTGATATCAGGGTACTGGGGAATCTGAAAAAAGCCTGGGGTCAGCAGAGGGTCTCATTCTATGTGACCACTGTATACTATTAGGGGTTCCCTGGGGAATTAAAGGGACATTTGGTATATGAGAAGGTCTCATGATAAAGTGAGGTCTCAGAATGAGCAAGAAGGCCACTGCAGGGGTGGGGGTGGGGCTAAGTTATCTGAGTGGCCCCAGCATAGCAGGATGACCCTAGTTATTCTCAACGTCAACCAGAGCATCCACACTGCTTGTGATTAGGGCTCTTTTTCGTCCCCAGAAGTGTCCCTAGTTTACCACTAAAACATCTTAAGTGGACAGGAGGCTGCTGGACAGAGAGGGAAGTCTCATGTCCACCATCAGCTCATGACGCGCAGGTCTAATCGAGATTCAGCCACTTGCTACACACAGGTGCCCACCTCATCAAGGCCCCCAGGCCCACTCCAACGTCTGCCCACCTCCTCACTGCCCATAGTCACACCCCGGAACACACACAGTCTCTAGCTCACACGAGCACGACGTCAAATTATTTTAGATTAAAAACTGAACAACGAGCCTGCTACCATGAGAGAGGTAAGAACGAGGCCCGGACAAGGCAGTGCCAAGAGAGGATGGGACGGTCATCTCAGCGTTCAGGCCACCTCCAAAGCCAGAACCTGGGCTCAGAGGCACTCTGGGCTCTTCAGCTGGTCCATCTTCAGCAGTTGTGAGCAGAGCCTGGTGGAGGGATGAGGTCATTTTGCAAGGATCTATCGGGCCCCTTCTCCCCAGTGCAGGCAGAATCCCTCTCCAGATACCACTTGTGACCCTAACCCCATCCCTTACCCCCTGAGTGTCTTACCTGGTGTGATGAGAGGCGGCCCATCCCCTGGGCGGTGACTAGGGAAATAAAAATGATAACATACAAATAAATCCCCTGTTTGTCCTCTCCCACTGGGCTATGGAATTCTCAGCTTGCCCAGACACTTTCTTGGCTGGTTCTCCCTGTAGGTTTGTACAAAGCTTGGGACCAAAGCCTTCTAAGGGATGATTTGTGTGAAACAAAGCCCAAGAGACCTCAGGGCAGAGTACCCAGGCCTGTCCTCTTTGCACAAGGCTTAGCCTTTTGGGCGTGCCCAGAACCCATCTCACCTGGGCTTCTGTCTGAACTTGCACTTGCACTTTCCACCTGTTGGAGAGGTATGTGGTCAGAGGAAGGACTACCCGGTCCCTTCCCTGTTCATTCCACCCCCTCCCAAAGCTCCTGTACTCACTCATAAGGACTATGATGCCCACAGCACAGAGAATCCCTGCACAGATGAGCCCGCCGACTCTGAGTCGATACCAATCTGAGAAACAGAGAAAATCTCACAGCTAACCCAGCTCCCCCGACCCCTCTACCCCCAACATCTATCTCCCCACTCACTCGGTTGCAGTAAAAACGAAAAAGCAAAACCCCAGCCCTGTTGTACACACATTACAGTTCATATCCAAGCAAGCAAGATGTCTCATGTGCATTCAGGGGCAGAGAAGCCGTCTGAAGGGAAAGCATCAGTGTGGGGAGAAAGATACAAAGTCAAGATGTGAGTCTTTAGAGAGCACTGTCAAACAAGGGCTCTCTGAGGAGGCCCCATTGGAACGGGGATCTGCAGGAAGACTGAGTGGCCCAGCATGTGTATAGGTCGTGAGATTGGCAGATGTCTTCTGTATCTGAGGACAATAGCTGGAGCAGGGGTGAAGGAGAGGTCAGGGGGCAAGGGGCAGCTCCTGGTGGCAGCTGGAAGTGGGGAAGACTGGGGTAGAATTACCCACCTTCTTTGGGAAGATTTTCATGACCAACTTTCTGGAGGTTGATCTGAACCTAACGCCGCTTGCAAACTGGACTCAGTCCCGAGTCTGTCTTGCATTACCCCTCACAACTGATTCTTTTAATCTGCCTGGATACTCAGTGACCCATTTCAAACCCTCTCCTACACTGGCCCCTGGGTCACCGTGAACTGTCAGGCATTCTTGTGTGGAACCCTTGATTCAAAGTAGTGCGTAGGGTCGGGAAGAAGTGAACAGGGACGCCGCTCTTACCGTAGTAGAAGGGGCTATTTTTATCTGCAAAGAGAAAAAGGACACACACATGAGTCTGAGACAATAGCAGGGGTCTGGGGTAAGTGGGCTGGAGGGGTGGGCTCTGACTCACCCTCAGGGTCATTGGCATCCAGAGTAGGAAGGCCTGTGGGGACAGGAAACAAGTGATTGGTGACTATGGTGGCCCTAGAAGAGCCGTGGAGGTTTGTTGCCTGAGGAAAATGTTCTGGGGAGGGGGGCAGCCCCACCTCCAAAGTGCACAGGATCCAGCTGCTGGCTTGTCCCACCTTGGCACGGAGATGTGGGTTCATCCACCCACCCCCAGCTGTGAGCCATGCCAGCATTTTGCCACCGGAAACAGATCCTATTCTGGGTACTTTCTGGCCTCTGTCTGACTGAATGTTTCCAGGCATGCGGCTGGGCCACACCTCCTGCTGGAGAAGCTTTGTTCTTCAAGGTAGCAAATGTTTTCTGTTCCCAGGACTGTTTCCTCCACACCAGCAATGCTCACAGTTCTCCACAGCGATAGCCTGCGGTTATCAGGGTTGCCAACCATCCCCCTTTGAAATGACTCTCAGTTGGCAACTTCAATTAACTTACATCCCTATTCCAAATAATGCCACCTGTACCCAAAGAATGTTAAAGTAAAAAGTAGTAAAAAAAAAAAAAAAAAAAGGTGTGGGGGCAGCTGGAGAGAGAGGACTCTGACTGCTCTTGCAGAAGACCCAAGTTCAGTTCCCAGCACCCACATGATGGTTCCCAAACATCTGTAACTCCAGTTCCAGGGGGATCTGACACCCTCTTCTGACCTCTGCAGTTGCCAAGCACTCAAATGGCAAAAGCCATACATATAAAATAATTAAGAAAAAAAAAGAAAAGAAAAGATGGTTGACTCCCAAGAAACGATGGCCAAAGTCGTCCTCTGGCTGCCACAGGCACAGCCACACATGTGCACAGCTGCACACACATGAGCACACAGTCATGCACACACACACACACATATGCACAGCTGCACACAC